GTGGTGTCACAGCCAGCTGTCTCCGAGGATCAGGTGAGTATAACTTAATTTTTCTCCCTAGACCAAAATGAACAGTTAACCCTTGCAGTGCGGGGGTAGCCCCAAGGGTTAATAAAAGTTTTGCCTGGAGTTCTGCTAAACATTTCTCTTGTGAGAAAATAGGTATGTGTGTGTGTGTCACTGCAAAGACACTTGAACAACTAAGTACATGCTGTTGTCATGAACCCTGTTCCATACAACTACTGAACTAAATGTGAACTGTCCTACCAGATAAACTCAGAACCCAGCCATCTGTATGTCCCAGGGATGGCTATACTGGCCAAATGCACAAGAGACTGTAAAGCTGGAATCTATCGGGTTACAGCCATCTTCTGCCAATATACCTATATAGCAGTTTTAGTAGGATCATTCACCGATCCCTTTAAACAGACATAAGCAGCCTTCACAACTGCTAGAATTGCAGGGCTGGGGCATACACTTCCTCCAAAGCTGCCCAAATAACAAAATAATTGGGTTCTCATTAAATAAAATCTAAATTATTTGTGCTGTTGTTTATGATATCACTATTACTTTAATTACTTGTAAGCCTCGCCTGAACAGATCAGTTTGATATTGGTAGTGTCCGTAGAAGTTCAAAAGACCCATTCTAACCACAACTGGTACACTATTTGGCCAAAGGTTCATGGACACCTCACCATTACACTTATATAAGCCTGTTCAACACCTCAATCCAAACCACGAGCGTTAAAATGGAGTTGTAACCCCCACTTTGCAGCTAAAACAGCCTCCATCCATTTGGGAAAGTTTTCCAAAAGATTCTATAGAGTACCTGTGGGAATGTGTGCACATTCAGCCAAAAGAACATTTGTGTGGTTATGTACTGATGTTGGATGAGAAGACCTGGTTTCCCATTGGTGTTCTAATTCAAAGATGTTCAGTAGGGGTTGAGATCAAAGCTCTGTGGAGGTCACTTGAGTTTTTTTTACATGCTCTGGAACTGAACGCTGCGGTGTGAACTAGAGCCCAACATTTGGAATACATTGGACGCAGTTTTTATCCGGTCTGTAACAGATCTGCTCTGCTCCTGGAACGTGCTTGGTGGGAACAAGCCCTAAGTGATAAAGATGAGGTAGCATTTGGCTCAGACTTAGAAAACAATGTTAATGCATATATTCTTTTAAAGGTAACCTGTAAAAGCTATAATGTTAACATAAGTTACTGGAAAAGGGACCAAACTGTATCTGCAAGTTTCACCTGATTTTTCTGAAAAACTCCAACTTTCGGGGTATGAAGAGAGCATCATCCCCTTCTCATTCAATCCCATATGGGAACTCTCTGTTCCTCAACAATCCATAACCAAGCCCAAACACTGTCACATAGGGAGAAGGTGTACCTAAGTCTATAGTGAATTGCAGATATTTGGCTTGTAGATACTATCTTCCCAACCATTTAGCAGCACTGTCACAAGGGTTGCGCCAACAAGATGGGTATAAGTGGTCATCTTGGTCATCATAATAGTCCCGTACAGCTTATAAAATAGTGCATGTGAAGTATCTGTATGTATTTATTTTCAATGTAATTATGTTATTAGATTTTTCAGTATTCATGAATAGGAGATACTGTATAAGCCTGTGGAAGTATACAATGAAATATGTTTTTAATTTTATTAATATTTTTTCTAAATAAAGTGATATAAAAAGTGCCCTTTAATTGTCTTGCCAATAGTGATTGTGTGTGGGGAACGTGGAGGTACCTGTGACAGATACAATTTCACATATTTATTGCCACACATACTGTAAGTAAACATAAATGCTGCTTGTGTTCCGCTTTATAGGGCTCTAGGAAAAGCATTAGTGTCTTCCATGATTTGCTGCAGATAAGGGCAATTCGAGGAAAGCAGCAGTGGGGAGGATTTCTTTGAAAATTTGTTGCTTGACAGTCAGCTGTAATTAGTGTTGAAGAAAGAAAGTATGTGGAAATAATTAATGGACTCCACAATTTACCACAAGTCAAGAGAACGAAATTTATGAGCCAGATAATTTATAACTGGTTAATGTCAAAAGCAGGTTCCAAATGAAACCAAAGCTTTAACAGTGTGGAGGATCTCTGCAACCTTCATTGCATCCAACCTCACCTGCAGAAAATCTGAAAGCAAATATTGTTATGAAGATGTGTCTATGCTGCTATAGACTTATGCTGGGCACACACACCTTACAACCATCGCAAGACTTATGTCTTGCGATGGTTGTAAGGTAATTTTAAAAAACGTACGATCTGCCTATCTTGGACAGGCAGATCGTATTTCCGATGACCGCAATGCTGAACGGGCAGTGTGCGCTTGCGCACACCGGCCCGTGCGGCTTTTATCATGGGAACATGCCACAAACCAGCCGAACACCGTACGATGTTCGGCTGGCTTTCGAACATGATCCTAAGGTAAAAGTCGTGCGACCTTAAAGTAGCAGAGGTCGCACGGCTCCAACACAACTTACTATAATCGTACGATTGCGGGATTTCCCGCGATTAACATAAGGTGTGTGGGCACCTTTAGATGATAAGAAGACCCTGTTGACCAGTCCAAAATGAAGATTGGATAATCACCAGCACACACATGGTACACACTTGAATCTTCATTCAATTAATTCCATCGTCACATTGTATCAAAAGTGCCAAAGTTTCGGGGCCGAGCAGGGTCCCTTCTTCAGGGTGTGGCCCCAAAACGTTTGCACTAATGATGCAATGTGACAATTAAATAGATTGAAGGAAGATTCAAGTGTACTGTATACAACGTGTGTGCTAGTGATTATCCTAGAAGAATTGCTGTGCGCACACCATTCAGCTTCGGAATATCATCTTTATTCACATTTTGTTAGCATGGCATATAGATGCGTCGTTTCAGAGCCTCACAGGACCCCTTCGTCAGGCAATGTTGCTAACCTCCCAGCTACAGAATAGCTTATGTCAGGAGGTGAGGGCTGGAGGAGATGGGCCAGCACAGAGAATAATCAGACACTCCCAGAAGAGGAGAGGGCATGCAAGGATGGAGGAGGTTTTGCTAGGGAACGGACTCGTCACATTTTCTAGCATGTTTAAAAGGTGCAAGTGAATGGAAACAAATTAAGTAAAGGAATAACACTGCAAATAAGAATGATATACTAGGTTTTTGTGCTTGTACCTACTGTTGGGGACGGGGTCTCTGAAAAAAGCAATCGCAGACAACCTACTATGGAGTACAGAGCTGGTTGGCTTTATTCCGTGTATGTATCGTACATTTTTAATATTGACTTAAGAAGGTAAAGGGAGGTTTACAAAATGCAGCAACACATGGTGTCATTTATAAAGAAGCAGTGTGGTCTAACCACAGCTATAACACTGCTTTTCTATTAGAAGCTACTCCAGAACATTTATAAAGCATATCCGTGTCTTTTGAACAGGCCTTGTCCTTCGCTTTTGTTGGGATTCTACAGCAAGCAAAGCCCCATTCATTCTATGAATGGAAAAAACCTGTGAGAGAAGGAGGAAGAAACCTATGACATGTTCTCTAGGGTCACGTGACATCAATCTCCATCAATTGCAAGTGTTCTCTGTAGCGTTATGCAGAGAACACATTGTAGGACATCAGTATCTCCATGCCGTGCTCTGCAATTCATGAATAAAAAGGTGAAATGCAGGTGTTGAATACGTCCAGTGATGTCCAGGGAAAATAAATTGCTCCGAGTTATAATTAGGCCCCACAGTAACCAGTCATCCTTTTTATTATAATTACTCTAACCTCACTAAAGAAAAAGTAAAACCTGTGTGGGTGACATTAGTCACTGCACTTGGCACCAGTATGTGTACGAGGATCCAGAACATCTCACATACTGTATATTTATAGCTTCTCCTCATAGTGCTACCTGCCCTAACTTGGTATACACAAAATACCTATAGAGTATTGTGCCTACAAACATGAGTGCCTGCTTACCTTCACTAGTGATTATTCCTGTGGCTATATTAGAACCAATTGATTAAATACCATGTCAAAGGACATAAAAAACATCCTTACTGAGATTTACTTTCTCTATGGAGAAGCATGAATGATCATCAGTAAAAGGGAGCCCTACCTTCATCTTGACCACTTCACCCCTTTCCCAGTGTATCTTCCTGATAGCAACATTTGTCCTTTTTTTATTCCAATGCATAAGCACAGACTGCAGAGGCATTGGTCCACCCCTATATTCTCCATGTTGCTTTTTGAACTAACTCACAATCTGACAACGTGTAAATATCTAGTGGGAAAAGATCTAATGTAAAGACACAATTCTACATTTAAAGACTTCCCTTTAATGTTTTTACTTAAGATGCAGGATATAAATGTGAATGCAACGACGCCAAGTGGGTTTAACTGTTCATAGAACTTTAAGTGGACAATAGTACCACCATTATGTCTTAAAGTTTTATCTAAATCCAAATGTTTTCTTAGTTTGGATAGAGTAGGTAATGGTTAAAATCCATTAGGTTAGATTTTGCCATCAGTGTACCATTTAAGAGATTTCCATTCAGTTCCTGTCCTGTAGATACAAAAAGAAGCGAGAGCAAATCTCTCTAAAATGAGGGAAATCCTTTTTTAGATAGCCGTCACTGGAACAAGTGACCCCATTGGAAGATTTCCCCTGTTCTAGTGACAATGGTACATTTTTAGATTCTCTCTCTTTTTCAGTCCCAGTGACAATGGTGGCATAAACTAGACACGAGATCTAACCCTCCCAAACTCTATTCAAAAGTAAAAATAAAAGGTTTGGCATTAGATGCACTTTAATGGCTCATTTATGAGAGTGTGTTTGGAAAGGAATGGTTGTTTTCCATATGGCAAATGTTTCTCCAAGTGCAATATTGAGCAAGGACAGGAAGCAGCACCTTGCCAGCTACAAGCATCAACTCTTCCTTAACACGTGTTGATAAATAATGACTATTGCCATAAGATTCTTACGTAGAGCTTGTATAAGTGTGCTGATCCTTACCTCACAGAGCAGAAGATCCATGATGTGGAAGACCATACACAGAGGGAATTTGGCTGTAAAAAGACTCAAGAACCACTGTGAGGCATACATGTGTGCTTCCAGGTTCAGTGACATGAAATGGGAGTAAAGATCTGGTAGCTGATCCTGTCAACGAGAAACATGACATAAAATAAGATGTACATCGTATACTGACCACTGCAAAATGATTATTCTTCTACTTATAGTTACTAGTGCTACAAATAATGGTATGTAGAAACTATTTAAAATGGGTTTTATATACACCATACGGCCATATGTTTGTGGACAACTGACCATTACACATAAATGAGCTTGTTGGACGTCCAATTCCAAAACCAAAGGCAATGTAACCCCTATAACCCCCTCCCCTCGAAGGGGGGTATATTAATGCCATTCTTCCTGTTATTAATTCCCGTTCTTCTGGGAAGGCATTCCACAACAATATGTCTGTGGGGTTTTGTGCTCATTCAGTAAAAATCTTGCTTCTGTGGTCAGTTACTGACGCACAAGAAGACCTGGCTTGCAATCAGCATTCCAATTCATCCCAAAGGTGTTCAGTAAGGTTTTGGTCAGGGCTCTGTGCAGGCCCCTTGAGTTCTTTCACCAAACTACCAAACTCATCAAACCATAGTTTGATGGATCTGGCTTTGTACACAGGAGCACAGTCATGATGGAACAGAAAGCACACAACTGTCTTTGTATTCTGAAGCATTATCAGTAATCGTACAATGGAAGGATCTAAACTCAAACATTTGGCTCCATAGCATAGATATAATGGTCAGGTACTTTTAAACATTATGACTAGACATGTGACTAGGACATGCACATCATCTCAGGGGAGGAAAATGCCTTTCCCTGAGATCTCGTGAGATTACAGATGAGATTTCCCAGCAATGCTCTGCTGATAGCAAGGCAATCCCTGACATGTCTATGTTATTATTAATCATCATCCGTAGAGGGATGCACTGGTAGAATTTGATTTTTGAGTGTAAAGGTCCGCATTATGCACTGAAAGCCACAGGGGAGCATAAGACTGACACTCACTATTCTGTAGCCATGTATAAAACCTCTGCTCATCTCACAATAGCACAAAGCCAGATTAAGGAATCCAAGCCATGCTGCTTCCTATCTGGCTTGTGCAACTTAAAGAAATCCAGGAGTAAACATTGGCAGCACAGAAGAGAAATCCATGCTGGCAAATAACAACAGTGACATCCAGGCTGTTTATTATGCAGAATGAGAGCGAAGGGAAACAGATGGCCATTCCTTTAAGGAAAGGTTTAGAGTAATATTGACAGCAGCATTAGTGGGGCTGTGTGCCCGCATATGGTTACACAAATATTTGGTATACAAACCCAAAAGGGAAAAAAAAGCAGACACCCCTGTGAATAGGTAATAACACCTTTTGTAAATTTGGCACTGTTCTTCCCCCTAGGTGTATTACCTACAATAGCTTGCACTGTAATAAATACGATGTATAGAACTGGGCCTATAAATCTCAATGCATAAGTCATATATTAGGAATGATAAATATTCTACATCTAGAAATTTTAATTAGGATTTTTATTTAATGCCGGATACATAAATGGTTATGTATGGAGGTGAAAGGAGGTGCGGAGGAGCTGGAATAGCACAGACAATAGTAATTAGACACTCCCAGAAGAGGAGGGGGCTATGACGTGCAAAGAGGAAGGGGGCCTTGGTAGGGAATTGACTCCTCCTGGAGTAGTCACATTGTTTTAGCAAGTTTAGAGGCACATTGCCTAGACAATGAAACATAATTTGTGAAAAAGAACAACACAACACTTAAGTATTGAAAATACTTGATTTTTCTGTTGCTTTGCCTGCAATTTTAAAGTTGGTGACATGGTCTCTTTAAGTGAGCTAGTTGTTATAATCACATTTAACTGGACTTTTAATTTTACATTAGTTCATCCAGGCGCTTTTCCAGTTGGGACTATACATCGTCATTTATAGCCACAAGGGTAACCCAGTCACCTAAATCCAAGAACTATGGTGTTATGAAATGCATCAAGGCAGATGCTGATTTTCCAAAAATATAAAACATCTTGACCTTACAAATAAGCATTATTTAACACTTTTTGTGTGAAACATGTCACACATGAGTGTTAGGACTGGCGATGCTTGACCCCATGTGACAGCAAATCCTTTGTTGTTGAATGACACTGGGTGCCAATCAATTGGAAAGCTGACTACATCTATTGATGAAAATTAATTACTGGAGGTGAAAAGTATTGCAGCCAAAGCTGCAATTTTTGTGGCGCTGTTTCTGGGGAGGCCTTACAAAAAAATTAAGGAATATTTATATATAAAGGAAAAAGCCTGGAGTTAGCCTTTAACTCAAAACTCACCTGCAGGAAACGTTCAAGCTGGTAAAACTTGCAATGAAGATCTTCAAAGTTATTCTTATAAAGGTTTCTAAACTGGTAGTCATACATAATCCGAACCAGCACACAGAATGCCTGCTCTTCTGGCATCTGCATAGGGAACAATGAACAAAAAATACAAAGGTCATTCATTATTGCTAACAATCAAAGATCCCTGGTGCCCTAATGTACTTATGTTAGTCATACAAATGATATTCTCTTATATTGTCTGTATAATTGTTCTCTACCAGTTTTCTTATTCATTGATTGTACAACTGACAAAACACATCATACAAATTTACAGTCCAACATCACAAGGACTGTAGCTTAAAGTGATATTAAACTCAGGAGTTAAACCTTAAAAATGCATTCAAGTACCTGAACTATTAACCAAAATATATCTTATTTGTGTATCACTCGGCTGCAGATCCTCAAATCATCTCTGAATTAGTGCTGACTCTGTCCTTCCTTCTGGAGGGTGGCTACTTTTGTTCTCTATGGTCCCTGTGTGTGTTGTAAAGTAGTCACCACTCCAAGCTCACTCCCGTCATGGGCTACAATCTCATGTCTAGTTTACTAATTTGTATTGGGATCCATCACAGGAGTGAGCTTGGATTGGTGGCTACTTTGCAACACACACACAGGGACCATGGGGAATAAAAGTATCCACCCTCCAGAAGAAAGGACAGTGTTGGCACACATTGAGAGACGATTTGAGGATCTAGAGACAAGTGATACAAAAAAAAAAAAAAAAAGTTGTTTTTAGCAGTGATTTATTCGGTGTGTGGCTACTTGAATGTATGAACTCCTGGATCAACTGTTAGTTTAGCACTTTTTTGGATGATTAAACATTGCTAACTTAGTTTTTTAAAGTTAATGGGCAGGAATTGTCATTCTGGATCCTACCTTTTCTATTGAGTAAGGCTGGCCATACACTATGCAAATTTTGGCCTGTTCTTTGTGAACTGGCCAAAATTCACAAAGTGGGTGCCGCTGTCAGCACCCTTCTGGCTGGCATGCCTCAATCAGCTGATTGAAGGAGCTGGTTGGAAAAAAAAGGGGAGGGGGGTCCTTTATCAGCACTCATAAGGGTAGATGCAGGAATCTGTTCTATTTTTTCGTTCAGCCCATGAGTTACATAGTTAGTTAGATTGACAAAAAACACAAGTCCATCGAGTTCAACCTATAGAGTTGAACGAAAAAATTAGTACAGTGTATGGGCAGCTTAAATCACTAACCTAGAAAAAACATGTATGCAGTGTGGTAAGGTCTGCACTCTCTTCCTGCATGCTTATTCAACAGTAAATAGTGGCAGCTGCCATATTCGTGTCCTTACAGGTTATTTTTAAAGCAACAAATTCACTTTAAGCCTTACTCCTCTAAAGCACAAACTCCCATTTCCTTTACTCTAAAACCTTGGTTCTCAACTGGTGGGTCGTGACCCAAAAGTGGGTCGCGACCCCGTGTTCAGTGGGTCGCAACCCCGTGTTCAAAATATGCTGCCCGGTGCCAAATGTCAGCTTGAGGTGGGGTGGGGTGGTATGGTATGGTGCTATGGCCACGAGGGAGTTCCATCCATACAGTGCACAGCTCCCTCACGTGTCCTGTAGAGGTGCCCGGACCGATGTCCCATTCTGGCTCCTGGCACCTCATGGGAGCTGTACAAGCAATCACATATGGATGGAGCTCCATCACAGCACAGCAGCCCACACTGGACCCCAGGCTGAGGATCCACTCCAGTTCTCGATAAGATAGGAAGATAGATAAGATAGGGAGACTAGGTGGATCTTAACATTTTTTGGGGGGGAGTGCATATGTGTGTGAGATTGTGTCTGTGGTTGTGTGTGTCTGTCAGTGTTTTTGAGGTCCCTTTCACACTTGTACAGTGCATTAATCACACAGTCCCGTGCAAAAACGCACCTACCACCAATTCTGGTGTGGGAGGTGTGTTGCATTGCCATTCACTTGAATGGTACCCCAAACTTACCTCTCACCCACAGTTCGATCGCCCACACCGGAACACACAGTACCGCAATGCCGTGCATTACAGTGCGTTGCGACTTGGGTCACGACTTAATGACCAAGGACAAATGTTGGCCCTGAGGTTACACTGGTTGAGAACCCGTGCTCTAGAAGACACCCTGTGCAAACTACAAGTCGCTCAAGCAGTAGCTTAGAAAGGGATATGAACAGTCCTGTCATACGGAAAGGAGTATGAGTATGGAAGGTTGAGTATGTGCTGCTGGGGATAGAGGGATTAAAGCAAACTCAGGTTTGCTTTGGATGATCATATGTTGCAAATCCACACTGACAACAGCTAAACTAACACTTTATTCACAACTTCAAGATCATCTGCTGTTGCTGCTTTCTTTTCTATTTTATTTATAAATCTGATAACAGTACAGAAAAGAAAAATAATGTGAGCGGGTAGGGCAGACCAGACAACACAATGTCTCTGGCCGTGTGTTCATTGTCTCCTCCACGGATTGTGTTCGGTATGAGCTGGATGGGGTTCTTAAACCTTTAGGCCCCATTCACATTGAGCGATTCGCAAATCGCACGTTTGTCACGCGATTTGCATTTTGCGCGATATCGCGCAAATGCTTGGATTGAGCAACCTAGAATCGCGGCAAAATCCGCTCCAAAAAGGGTCCTGCTGTAGCGACACACGACCCACGACAGCGACGGACAGAGCCCCATTGAGATGCATTGGAGAGCGATATTGCGCGGTAAATAGCCGCAATATCGTGGGAATTACCGTGCGATAAATCTCTCAGTGTGAACGGGGCCTAACACGACGAAAGAAACATTTAGAGTGTGGCACGCACAAGGACAGACAGGGCTTGCTCCTTGCCTCTCTCATCACACAGACACTGTGACAACAATTTCACAGACAACATCAAAAAAAGTTTCGACAGGTGTCACCCTGGGTGGTCTGATCTGAAAAGTATTTGAAAAACAATCTTTCTAGGAAGGAGCTGCGAGAAAGGCCAATCCACTCTCTAGAAGACTTAGAAATGCTTTTGTTTCAGTGTTGCAAACTGCAGATTAATGAGGGTACAGAATAGGGAGACCCCTGCCGGTACATGAACACGGGCATCCACAAGGTTTTCCTCTTCTGAGCTGATAAGGAAAATGTAGAAGAGTCCAAAATGTTTTTATTTATTGAGGAAAAAAAAAGAGACTCAAAGATCCAATGCGTTTTAGGGGTTAACACAGTTCTCCCTCAATCAGGGCTTGAGAAATAAAGCAGAGCAGAATCCCTCGGGGTATAAAATCCGCTTGTCCTCTCGTCTTTGACGAGAGGACGCCAGAGCCGGGCGAGTAGCTTCCCAGCCAGCCATTGTAATTAAACGGCTGGCCGGGAGCTTTGCATCTAAGCGATCGGGCGCCTCTGCCAGTCCCGAGACCTGCTGTGCCCGATGCGGCTGGGACCGGCACGGCTGCTCTGTGACAGGAGATCAAAGGAAGATCGATACACGATCTCTCTCTGATCCCCGAATGCAGGAAGCGATGTATATTACATCACTACCGCATTCCTCTGTCACTCTCCAGCTTAAGAAGCTGGGGAGAAGCTGGTGACGCAGATCTCTGCTTCATCAGCTTCTCTGGGGTCCCTAGGTGACATTAGGGGTCTTGGGGGACCCATGATGTCTCCATAATGAGGACTTGTCATGTAGATTGGCTATAAACTTTATTGATAGCAATAAAGTTAAGTGTAAAAAAAATAAAAATTAAAGAAGCATAAAAAAACACAGTACATTTTTTTTTAAGTCCCCCGCCCCCCACATACACACGCAAACATGCGTCGGGTGCGTCTACGTGTGAAAACGATGATTCCGCCTATTGTGCCACACATGTTATATATCACTGCGAATGTTGGAGTGAGAGCAATAATTTTAGGGCCAGTCATCACTGATAACACTAAACTGATGAGCAGTAAAAGCGTTTAAAGCGTTGCCTATGGCCAATTGCAGGCGCCCGCAATTTTAAGGCTTGACATGCTTTGGTGTCTAATCACCACTGGGCCCCCACCAGTGGTGTAAATAAATACCACCAAAAGAAATCTCTGTCTGTCCCAAAAAAAGAGTGGACACAGGCACCAATGAAAACCTTACTTGGGTCTAAGTCTTCCCTACTCCATCCAAAACTAACATTAGCTTCAGATACACTTTAATGAATATGTGCCCTTTACCTGTTTTCTTGGACTTTTCACAGTAAGAAACAAACCTTAAATAGCTGCTGTGAAACTGATTTATTTAATGTAATCATTACAGAGCAAAAAGATAGCATATTGCTCCCCCAGTGGATTCTTGACAGTGGGCAATAAACAAAATAAAACTGACAGATTCAGTTTGACACCCAGTGATATGGCTATAGATTAATAGCTGTGACATATAAAACCCTAACCCAAGAGGTGCTGATACAAGGTGCTCCACTGCCAAGATGCACAGGCAAGCCCAATGTGTACCCTGTGCTTGGTCATGTAAGATATGATTACATGAGCAACAGCAGGCCATGCATGGTAAAGTATGTTTCTGGACGTACATGAATACAATTCTTGCTGCACCAATCTATGCAGTTTACTCTCTAACTGCATCACTACTTGTACGGTATTTAAGGAAATAATAGAACTAGTCAGAGATCCCTCTCGGAGCAGGGGACCAGACATAGCTGCAGGGGCATCCCGAGGCTGGGTGACACCCGGAGCGGTAACCGAGTGTCACCCCGCCGAGACGTCACTGCGCATGCGCGTGACGTCACCACGTGCATGCTCTATGACGTCATCGCACACGCGCGGCAGTATTCTGACATTTTGGTGATGGACGCCGGCAGAGAGAGGAGGGGACAGTCACCCGGCGGGATAAGGTATGCCGCCGGGTCCCCTCATCTCTCCTGATACTGTCGGGCGTTCGATCCATGACCGAGCGCCCGACTTTTCAGAAGGGGGTGACACCAAAATGACTGTGAGTCATTTTGGTGTCACCCCTCCAATGGTGTCACCCGGGTGCGGGCCGCACCCCCCACACCCCCCTTGTGACACCACTGCATAGCTGCAACTGCTGAAAACCTGGTCCCTGGTGACACTTTGTTCGAGCCTGTGAATGGAGAGCTAAACTACTAGCAGGAAATGTCATTGAAATGTCATATAAAAGGAAGCTAGTAGGTGAGTTACACACAGACATAAAACTTATATTCCAGTTTGATGTGGATCAGACCTTAACATCCATATTGATCACATTGGCCGATGTGGTAGCACACATTTCATTTGACTATGAGAAAGTGATCATAGTAATAGTTAAATTTTCAGCAATGTCTCAGCATTTCCAACCTTCAATCACTTGCTGGAGAGCCTCCCCCGCTGTATGAATCACGTAGCCTGTTACTCACATGAAGCAGAAGCACCGCGGCAAGGAAGCTCTGGCCCTGGCAGTAGCCAATATCCTCGTCATACAAAGAATAGGCCTGAAAAAGAATGCACAGATCAGGAGAGAAGCACACAGATTATAAAAAGCTACATTTGACGAATGAGAGGACTGCATCACACCTATAGTATTGATTTTATTATAAGTGTAGCCTACTGGATCCCAACCAATGGCTCCCCTCTAATGCCAGACACAAGGCCATCTCTAATGTCACACATGAATAAGATCACCTTCTATTAGCTATAGTGTGGAGTAAAATGTACTGAAGTGAATCTGTGCTTTTTCAATGCATGGCAAAGCAACAGGTTAACATTATTGTAAACCTCGACAGATGCTTATGCTCATCCTTATTTTGCTTCCCTTCTGTTCAGCTTCTGGGGGTGGAAGGAAAGCACTGTGTGAGCTTCAAGTCACTGGATTCATAACTCACACAGTGCTATGGACCCCCCCATGGCGGCACTATACCTGGACGCACTGGGCAGTGGTGGAACTACCACCATAGCGACCGAGGCGGCCACTACGGGCCCAGGGCACAGGGGGGCCTGGCCAGGACGAGGAACAAAGGGGTCCCCCTGATGCCGTGCGAGCCGCCTGAGTTGCGGTGGCATTGCCGGCTGCTCGCTGTCACTGGCGGCTGTGAGGAGGAATGCGCCGCTGTTCAGATCACTGACAACCTGTGCAGTGGCGCACTCCTCCTCAGAGCCGCTGATGAGTCAGTGACAGCCAGCGGCTGAGGAGGCGGAGCCCGCCAGCAACCATGGACGAGGAGACGGAGCCCGGCGGTGGAGGAGGCTGACAGAGGATCGGGGCTGACAGGTCAGAGGTGTGCAGGGGTGTGACCAGCCCACCTGAGACCCTGCAAAGCCCATCATAGAGAGCCTATAGTGGGCTCTGCAGGGTCACTCTCAGGTGGGCTGTTTGGGATCCAGGTGGGCCCTGCAAGGGACATAACTAGAAATCACAGGGCCCCATACAAAATTTTGCTTTGGGTCCCTGTGATTTCTAGTTACGCCTTTGGCACTGGGTATTTTATTAAGCGCTCCGTGGCCAAGATATCAGTAGGAGAGGGAAGGAAAGGCATGTATATACTGGTGGAAATTGGAGAATTCAAGAAAACCTCTTGCTTTGCGTTGAATTGGCAAAGCACATGTTTGCTTTCCGCCAAAACCCCTGATGGATAGCATACTACATAATGGGCCAGCTCATACCGTCATCCTTACAGTTGGTGTCAGCAGGGTCACCTGCAAATTCTACATTTATGAAATTTTACCTAGGCACACCTCTTATGATGCAGTGCTCAGACCAGGCAATATGTCACTGGGCACTTATGGTATGTGGGAGAAGCTGTGACTAGTCTCCCGTTGCCCTTGAAGTTGGGATAGTTCAGGAGTTCCAGTGTCAGGACACTGACTGGAATAAGGCAAGATCTGTCACCTTATGTCTATTCTGAGGACTACAGATGCCTTTCCCCTCTAAGTTATTAAGAAGAGACAAAGGCAAAGTTTATGTAGCCCCATCCTAAGGTGACAGCCCTTCTTCTCCATAGATAAAGTATGGTGAGTTAATGTTGTCACTCTAGGGCAAGAAGTGTGTTCCTGGCAGAATCACCTGCTGATTACAGAGAAAGAAAAGCCTGAGAAGGGGAAGTAATGCAGCCACCGCATCTATTAACATGTAAGCTGTAATATTTTACAAATTTGTTCTTGAATCTAGCAAGTTTCTGAAGCTGGGAAGATTGCTAATATGCAAATTATCTAAAACATCCCAACTGCCAGAGTTATCAGATGTCAGTGCAAACAGGGTTGGATTTACTATTAGGCACAAGACACTTGTGCCTTTAGGCAGCAGAGGAAAATAAGTGTCTTTTTTCCTCGGTAGACAATTTTTCTCCCCACCACCGGCACACATGCCGTCATCTCATACAGCTTATTTACACAGTTTCAAAATCTTAAGGATTTTGAAACTGGATGGAAGTTTCAATGGATGGAAGTTTTCAACTGGATGGAAATGGTCTGGGTTAAAGCGGTGATGCTAGCAGGGGTATTGCTTTAAGCACCAAAGGTTGTGGGCCTGTAGGCTCCAGGAAAATATACCGATTGTTAAAAAATAGCCAGTTGTTTGCCTGTCAGGCTTATGATTCATTTTTGCTTTTTAAGTCACTGAATTGAAAGAAGAACAAAATTAAGGAATACAATTAACTGCATCTTCAGGGTTCAATTTAAAAGTACTGAAGCCAGACATAACCAGAAGCTTCAATTTTCATAAGACAAACAATGGTAGCTCCCATATTTCGGTTTCCAAACAGGTGTACGGGTAAACTATGTTAATCATCTTGTTCTCCTGTTTAACAGTACGTGTACATAGAGGACATTGTAAGCGCTTTATTGTCCCCAGTCTCTAGAAAATTCCTAGATAGCAGCTTTGAAAACTCAGTGCAAAAATCCATTTTGCCTACTTTTACTTTAGTTTTTTTTTCTTTCCCTCTTAACCCTTTGGCTGGAATGAGAGCGAGAGAGAGAAAGAAAGAATACAACAGCCTCTATGTGCTACACAGGTACTGTTAGATGGGATAGCATGGCACAGTTTTTTTTTAAGGTCATTGGTAGCTAGTGGGAGCCATGGAGCCTTTTTAAAGCCTGACCACCTATAAACACCTTCACTGTGCTCCCCCATTGCTCTGCTGAAGTTGCTATGAAAATATCTAATGCTGCAAAGAATAAAGAGCACGTTACATCTTCCAATGTTGCAGTGCTTTGGCCTAGCAGCCCAGCGCCAGGGACAAACACGGCCACCTGATAGATGGGTGACATCAGCTATGGAGGAATGGAGCAAAGGTGGAGTGCAGGGAAGGTAGGCATAAGTGGGTCAGGGTGGATGGGCTTTAAATAGACTCCATAACATTTCCTTGAATGGGCAAAATGACATAATAAACTGCAGAAGGATGCAGACCTCAAAAAATACTATTACTGGCATTCTTTTTTTTTTTGCATTTTCACACAAAGAGTGTTTTTTTGTTAATTTCATGGTCTATGCACAATTCCTCTTTAAAAAAAAAAAGGAAGCAAACCGTTATAGTTTCTGCAGTGCCAACAATTTCATAGCTATTGTGATGGGTCAGAATATTTAAGAATTCTACCCGTGGAGCCTACTGTCCTTTATGTCCTATTGTCCTAGCCTTGTGTTCATATTGTAGATTCATGCACATCTGTTATTGGTCATGATCACAGTAGGAGCTCTCCAGCTCTGACCTGAAGAGCAACGTCTCAGCAGAAAGCCCATTGAGTTCTGTATATAAATACTTTAGGGTTGACAAAGTCACTTATAGATAAACAATTAATCCTGAATTTTAATACACACCTGGCATTTGGTAATGAACAAAAAGCTGTAAAGGAGGAGGGTAGGTAGACGCTGCCTTTGATTCTTTCAGTGATTTAAAGAGACCCTGTCACTATTTTTCAAGTACAGGTATCTGACACACCCGAAAAGTAAGATTCAGCAGATTTTTCAGCCTGAGCAGCTTTTGAAGTGAGAGTGGTATTAACTATTATCTTTAGTTTGAGAATTAAAAGTATGACAAGGTCTCCAGGTTTTTAAGAGGTGCAAAGTCTAAAGTATATGTAAACATTAACTGAATTGCTTTTTTTTGTTGCTATATGATAGTTCATCACAAACTATTCCCATTTTTTAAATGAATACTTTCCATTTTTTCACCAGTCTCCGTGCTGCTGATCTGAAGCCTCTTTGCAGCCACTTCCAGTCCAAATAAAATACTCAACAATGCAAATGGGGTGACTTCAGTGTTCCTATTGCAAGCAATTGAAGAGCTGGCAAAATGTCTCAAGAACATTTAAAATGTAGTTTCAAAAGTCCTTTTCAGTATGTTTAAATCTGCAGCTTTATTAGAATAATACCTGGTGATCAAATAATATTGTAAAATATCCCTCTTACATGAGCTACCGAAGCAGAGACAGTAAAATATCAAAATACATACAAATCTTTAATGCAAAAAAGACATACACCTCAATATACACACGTTGCCGGGGGTCGCATAACTAATTAGCACAGGAAACCTCACCCAGGCCGGACACGGAAAGCATTGACAGATCGATAGCTCTTTCTCCATTCTGTGGGTGGTGGTGTATGGCAGTTCTTAGTTCGTGGAGTTATTTGTCTAGTTAATTCCGATAACGAATGAGAATCCTCCATGCTAACTAGTTGCGGCACCGCTGGCAATGTGTGTATATTTAGGTGTGCATATATATTTTTTGAATTAAAGATTTATTTTAATTTTGGTATTTATCCATCTTTGCCTTGGTAGCTCATGTAAGATATTGTTTGATTCTGACTGTGAGTTTAACCAAGCAGAGTGGGATGGTAGTAAATTATGATGATTTGGTAGGTCATACCATTTACTTTTCACTCAAGTAGTATTAGTTAACTACCTCCGGGCCGGCCATAGTAAAAAAACGGATGGAAAAATACAGCAACGGTGTTTTATTGTTTGAGATTAAAAAAAGTATTGCAATTGTTTATGACACACAATACTTTAACAAACTATATGCCATTCATAGAGGGGGATGTATATGTTAAAGTACATCTTTAGGAAAACAAGTTTTAAGTTTAGAACAGAGAGGTGGCAGGTTATGCATTCTGTCAAGGTTTATTTTACTCAGTGCCTCCGTTGGGGAGATGCATCCCTCTGTTTGTACTGCTGACTATTACAACTGAGAATGAAAGTGAGGGGAAATAAAAAATGTTAAGTGTTGTCCCTACGAAGGTAGGCAATGAGAAATTGTCCAATGGGGACACCAGTTCCAAGGACAACTGACTATGAGGGGAACTACCCTCTCTTTGGGAGATTTCCTCTAAATTTCTGTTGCTTCTGGGGAACAGGAAGTAAAGGAAAGGAGGAAAGTGATGGGTTTTAACCCTTCCCTACTCTATCAAAAAAAAAAAAGAGTTTTGGCTATAAATACTTTAAATATGGAGACAAAGCTCCATAAATTGCATGAGTGAAACTACATTAATCTTTAACTTTGTATTTACATAGAACTGACAAATTCTGAAGCAATGTATACAGAACAATTTAACATTTACATTTGTACCAGACCTTGAGAGAGAGATAAAGAGGGATGATACCACAATACCATAACCTACAAAGCAGACATGTTGCCACGTGCTTTTGACTTGCACGTGGAGGAAAAAGACAGTAAGAGGCCCTAGGCAAGGCACCAACTTTGTCCCTCCATCTCAACAACTGAAACTGATGCAACAGGCAAAGTGAAGCCGCCCTATCCGCATTGTTTGTACTGGCATGGCCTGCTCAATCCATCAATCCCCTACTAAGTGCATCTTCCCTTGTGAATTGACAAGCAGGTGCATACATTTAATAGAATAAACATTCATTGGGTCCTAGGCTTCTGCCTAGGTTGTCTCGTGGATGATCCAGCTCTGCTTTCAAGGGATCAGAAGCGCAATGCATGAACAATGTATCATTCAGGAATCTTTCCCAATGCCCTGCAATGAGTCCAATATAAATCAATACAATTCTGTATGTAAATGCATAACAACAATCCTGGTGTGATTAATCCCTCACAGTCATAAAAAAAACATTAATAACAGTTTGGTTGGAAGTTGATTAGCCTTCCTTCATGTTTTTGGGTTATGGGAGGCAACTCACACATACATAGGGCAACATACAAATCCAATTTTTTAAAAAAGTGATATTAAAGTCAAAAAGGTTTTTAAGCGATTTCAAATGCTGAATAAATCACTTACGATGGATGCTGCTTCTTGATGTGTAAAGGTTTTCCTGTAGAATCAGTTGGTCCCCTGAGCACTGGCTATGATATCCTGTTTTAGGGTGGCTCCTCTTCCTTACAGGGCCCTATGGAGCCACCCTTGTGTGTGCTAGTAAGCTGCGTGGTTTTTTTACATACACACGGGCACAGCCCCACTTCCCCACTAGCTTCCCTGTCCTTCTTTCTCCCTTCTTCCTTTTGCAAACTAGTAGAAGGTGGGCTGCTGGAGACTGCTCTGTCCCTTGTGATCTTGTACTGGACAGGAAGTTCAGGCAAGACAAGCTGAGAGTGTTGGAGCCAGATGTTCGGAAACATGATAACGTTAAGTGCTTGGAGTAAATATACTGTATACCAAAAAAAAATGCTGGTTTAATGCTACTTTAGTTGCTTGCCTAATACTTAGGGATGTTCGGATACCATTGCCGATACTTGGCATTTTCACGAGAACTACCAGGGTTGCAGAGGTTGCAGCTGGGACCTGGCTCTCCCCCACCGTACTGAAATAATTAATCTGTATTGTTTTAAGTCCTAATTAGAAACTGAGCCCATGATCAAAGCACTCTTAGGAAGTCAACACAACAGAAAAATCCTCTTGAAATCTCTAAAAAACAAATTTGCACAGTTTTCTCGCATCTTCTTACCTTACAGATCTTGTAAAGAGAGTCTTGTCCATCACCCTCTGTGTCCTTGAAGTATTCATGTGCAGGAAACGTTCGGTGGATATCTCTTTTGATAACGCTCTCTTGTGCTGAATCCTAGTAAAAGAACACAAGCCACAGCTATTAACTTATAAAGGCCGAAGGCTGGCGGCATGATAAATCCCACAATACGCCATGGCCCCGGGTGAATTATCTCCCTCACTAGAGTAAGAACAGGGGAAAGGAATTGACCTTTATACTGACTCCATCAAACAGTGTCAGTTACTTGCTATAAAACACGTCTATACAGGACAGCATCAATTCTCAGACAATATCAGGCTCACCTACTGTTAAGCTATAAATACACAAATCAAATGCGTACAGGATTTGTTTAACCGGTCGAAAGGTTTGTAAAAGAAGAATATTGCGGTTTGTACAGAATAAAGTAGTTTTTTTTTCTATGCACATCCTGTAGGCTCCTTGTATGACTTCCTATGAACATGTGTGCTTGTTTACTAGCAGCTGATTGAGTGACTATGGTAGAGCGTGCCAACGCATTCTTCATCGTCATAACTGCTTGTACTCCAAAATAATAAAGACGGAGATCACCAGCACTCAGTCAAAAGCATTCAATTCTTTTTGCTTATTTATGGAAGAAACATGCCACAGGCATCAATTAGCCAATGTTTCGGGGCCACGCAGGGTCCCTTCTTCAAGGGAACATAGTGACAATTGCTTGTATTCCAAATCTGCAGTGTGCAGTAAAGGGTTATAACACCGCAATTAATTGAGTAAGGGCTCCTTCATAATAGGTGACTGGCGTTTTCCAGCAACTGAACAACACAAGTCACCACTAGGGCACACGACACCGGTGTGATGTGTGGTGCGAAAAAAGCAGGCATGCTGCATTTTTTTTTTTTGCAGTGCGTGTTGCACCGCAGCACATCGTGCTGTTTATGGAAACCTGAATGGAGTTTATACTTTATACACTCCAAATAAAGTTAAAAAAAAGCACTGAGACACACATCACACTGTCCAACTGCCGGACCTGTCACACCACACTACGCATTTTAGTGTGTGGGTCCCAAAGCTGCATTCACATGGGGCATATATCTGCGCTCTGGGATTCCTGCAGCCATTCAAGTTAACAACAGGGTGACAGCGGCTGCATCTGTCAGCGGCAGTCCGTTTGTGATTGTAGAATTACATGTGAATCGGGATAACTGATTGTCCCTGCGTACAGGGACAACAGTCTATCCCAAACCGCAGGTAATCTTACCATGTACAATTACATGTGGAATGCCGCCGACATACACGACTGCTGTCTCCCTGTTATTAACATAAATGTGTTCAGCAGCTGCATGTGAACGGGCACATCTGTGATTCATGCCGGAATGCACATACAGTTTAATGCATGTAATATGTCGTGGTTTATAATTGCATTACAACAACAACAACAAAAACAAAAACCGATTAACTCTTCCCACAATTTTTTAAACAATAGTAGTGTTCTGAGTTTCTTTTTTGTAATCCCACAAATACAGTCTTTCACAGACCACTGTGTCACCCTTATCCCATTGCAGGTGCCTTCAAGGTTAATAAATGCTGTAGTAGTGCATTAACTATGCAACGTGGGGCACATTCATGGCAGAAAATGCTCTGGGCAGAAATACTAAACAGTTTTACAGCCAGTGGATCACCTTAAAATCATTAACGTCTTCCAAAAAGACCTTTAGGGCCTTGGAAAACCTTGTTCGGCATTTATGGAAAACTTTTCATTTAGATAAAAATGTCTACTATTGTTTAGAGTGGAAACAAATGCTACAAGACACGTTGTGAACGTGGCAGAGAGCAGCCATTTGGAAATAGTGCTTATAAAGCATTGGAAGCTTATACTCTTGAATTACTATCATTTTCAGGCTCACAATGCTTCACGTTGATCTACTGAGATGGTTTCCTCTTAACGGTTTCAGCTGCTGGCTTGAAACACAGTTCCCTGTGGAAAGTGTCAATTACTTGTTCTAACCATCAAGCTTGCTCTCGAGAGTGTGTTGTACAATAGCGGTTGTCTGCCTCATTGCTCTTTAGGCCAAACAGAAAAATCAATGGGTCAGGTATTATTAGCAAGTGCACTAGCAGCTGCAACCAATCAGATTCATTGTTTCGTTTTCTAATGCCGATGCTAATTGGATGCCAAGGCAAAACAGCCCCCTTTTCTCAAAGGACCCAAAATCAAAAATCTAATAATTTCCTAAGTGAGCTGCATTCACCTAAATCCAAGCAAAACTGAGCTGGCAAGTTGAAAATGAATGTTCAGGCAACACATTTTTCTAGTTTTAGATTGAGTAGGGAAAGGTTTCAACCACAAACCTTTCAAGTGAGGTTTTTACTGCAGTCCACGCCTGTGCTTGTGAGATTCACTCTCATATTCTATACTGTTGTTGACCCTTGTCAAGGAAGTAGAAAGTGAAAGGGAAGATCTAATACATAACCCCCCTCTTTAGAACTTTGTGGTCAATTGTGGTGTGTTACCAGGAGCGTCTTTAGTTAAGGCAGCCCATTCATTTTGAATGGGCTGTCAATGCATAGCAATGGACGTGCAGCATTTGTGTAACATTATTATTATTATACAGGATTTATATAGCATTAACAGTTTGTGCATCGCTTTACAATATAAGGAATACATTACAATTCTATACAAGATGGTAAGAAGGGCTAAATGGTTTGTTGGCACCTACTTGCGTATTGGGGTTCGATTTAAAACGAATGACAAAAAGTTGTTTCACCATTACGTAAGCCCAAATGTGCTGAGGTAATCCTCTGCATTTAGACTCAACAGGCTCACTTGCAATGTTTGTAGGTAGCAGAATGTCCATGTCACATAGAGGCCAAAGTGTAGAGTGAAGCAGATGCCCAGAATCACCAATCAGGTTTTATCGTCCAGTCAATGGGAAAAGGAAGCCAAATGGATTGGTATCTAAAAGAAGACCCACTTTTACATAAGCCCAGCAAATCTATATAACTGCAAAGGGAAAAATTTGGAACAGAAGAGAAGTCTACATGCATTTATTGCCATTTATCAAGCAGGGCAACCAGCAGCATAAATGAACTGCAAGATAGAAATTAGTCCTACAGTTAGCCTCAAATTTAAATACAAGTTAATAATATTTGATGTTAACATTGAGACTTTTTAAATGCAGCCCCAAAAGGGCCATGGTTCCATTCTCAACCACAATACACCCAGAGTTTTCCTATATAACACTGTCTCATCACATTTTATAGAACAAATCCCATCTACACTGCTAAAAGTGCCAAACGTACCACCTACCCAACATCTAGTTAGGGTACGGTCGTTTCTAAATACCACAGAAACACATAGAACACCATATAAAATGTTTTACTATGCTCCATGTTGTATTTAGTACCAATAGATGACAATGAGTATATTGTCTAATAAGCAAGTATGATATAAAACTCCTGAGTCCTGCAGTGTCCCACCTACTGTAATGGCAAGTATTATCTGCGATCCCGGTCTCTTTCCTGGGAAACTCTGCTCTATATGGAAGTATTAAAAGTCTGCATTAATAAAGTTATGATATGTCATATATCAACAGAATATTAAAAAACTGCAACTTTTATCAAGCTGGGCTCTAGTCATGTCACAGTGCCTAGGCATGAGATGTGCAATTAGGCTGAATAAAAGTCATCAGTCTTCTGCAAGCAAATGGAAAGACATCCTCAATGTCCCGTTCCTCAATCCTCACTCACTGTACATGGGGGTGGGGGATGGAATCACGGGTATCGGAAACTTCCGAAAGTGTTAAGTGCTGAAAGGATTGGTGGAGGCTGTAGCCCTGGGGTAGAGGAGGTAGGCGACATGGAGAGTATACTAACTCCTCTCTTGCAGGGACCATTTGACTACCTTTTTGTTAAAACCTGACAGTTGTATTGCCATGAAAATATTTATATGCTTTGTTTGAAGCATTTGCTGTGCAAATGACAAAACCTGGGAAAAATTGTGTGGGTCAAATATCACATAACTGAACGATGTCTCTAGCTCTCAAACAACAAAGAGAACACTGGCCCAGAAAAAAAATGGTTTCTCCACCATGCCTGCATACAGAATTGGTAGGGCAGATAACTGTTCACTGGCACAACAGCTACCAGCAGTAAATAGCATCAATTAGCTTAGCTTCTTGTTAGGAGACCCTGAGGTATAGGAATCCAATAGTACTGTAAATGCATATCATAAATATACTTGTAGGAACAGAAAATCTGCTGTTCTTAAGTACATGATCCTGATTCTTGTGTTTAAAAAAAGGAGCAATGAGTCATAAACCACCCTGGTAATGTAGGACTAGAAAAGTCAGGCTATGGCTATAAAGACCTATTATTTTAGCCCATTAGTTTGAGTATAATAGGAAAAAAAGAGGCATCTAAGAAAAGAGCTCTCGGACAAATGATTCATATAGAGTGTGCTTAAAGAAAATCAGTCATGGATTGTTTTCTGTGCCTTCGGTCACCCACATACCTACAGGAGTGGCTGAAACATGCATGCACGTCTGTGTACTTTATGTAGAGCAATCCATAAATTTGCGGTCTTGGATTCGCTGAGGGCCCATATTTTTTTAATAGGAGGTGAAAGAAGCAGAGAGCAAGAGGAGGGGAACAAATGATTGGGAAAAGGTTTTCTAAATTGAGATTGATCTTTCCCCCACCAGTGGATGGCGAGCAGCAACTGGTAGTACCCTTAGACATGAGACTGTAATGGAGTTCCTTAAATTAAACCTTTCCAGAGGAATATGGAAGCTGCCATTGCTGATTTCTCATTCTGCAAATGCTAGTTGTCTGGATGGCATACTGACCCTCTTGCTTTATACTTTAAAGTACAACTGTACTTTATTTTTTTCTTACTTAGTTGCCCCCACCCCCTTGAGTGCTCCCTACCTGGTCTTGTACTTACCTTAAACCCCAATCCAGCGATTTTCACTGTGCAGCCCCATACTGAGCTGCCAATTGCTGTGGGAAAATGGTACTCATGGGGACCACTTGAGGTTGCCATGAGTACGGCCTTCCAAAAAAAAATGAATGGGGTTGCTATGTGCATGAGTAGTATG